CCACACCTCCTGTTGCACTCAAAGCAAGTTTCATTTTTTACTTTAACAAATGTTCTCAACAAGAATAAAAGACACCTTGAAAGCCGTTTGCATTTGAAAACGTTGCGAATGGTACTGCAAAGCCAAATGACCGTGTACGGTAATCAAGCGATTCGTACAGCAAACGACGACGGGCCACAAATTAGTCTAGATGGTGGGCACATGGCCAAGGCAAATCCCCCAACACAGAAGAATGGTATTGTTCCCAAACTACATAATGGCAACGTTAACGGTGCCTGATGGCATTCCAACCTAAGTGCTGGACTTATCGCGGGCGCCCCCTTTGTGCGTTGTGACGCGTGGCAGCAATCAATCAGTTTTTTGGGGAGATCAGCAAAATTCGCAAGCAGCGCGCGATTGTGTTGGCGCCATTAACGCGCGCCTGACATTCACAAGAGGCTCAGGAACGCTCCTGGGAATCCTAGGAGGATGTCTCCGACAGAACGCTGCATTTCACCCCATGGGATGACAAGCACAGACTACCGAAGTTGGCGTGCGATTACTGGAACCATTTGTTGCTATTGCCCTGCCAAAGCAATCTGCGCAACATGATTGAATCTCTGCTGGTCCATTGAAAGGTCAGACATCCATACACCATTCCACACGGGTAAACCTACAGAAACGGCTTGCATTTCCTACAGATATCTTTGGCATCCAGCACTGAAACTCCATCTTACGATTGAAGTATGTGCCCACTCCAATTCTGATTCGCTGAAGCACGATTAAACATTGTGCGCATTGACATCGCTCCAACATTTCGCATTCCATTCTCTTTTTTGATGGTTGAAGACCTCCCCAAGAGCAATGATGGTAATTACCATCCAGCCTAGTAAGTGATTCATCGTGTGTTGTCTCAAGAATTTGAATGTGGTCAACGTGGAGGGGACCATCTCTGCCGATATTCTCTCCTGGCGGCTCTTTCCAGACAAATCCTGGCTTTTGGACGCCTGGAAGACATCATACTCTCCTCCAGGCTCTGCACATGTGCCACAATTGCAATTCTCAAGCAATTTGCTCTTAAAGAAAATGGTTTGACTCCACTCCCTGGCCTTGAGGCTGTAATACAAATAGACATCTGATCTACCTACAAAGTTGTCCGCCACGTAAATCCGATTGTCTCCAGAAATTGCTGCTATTTGCACCCACCGCATAGCCGCCACATCTGTCCGAAAATTTTTGACCACTTCATTGGCATTATCTGAGCCCAGCGTCCTGCCATCACTGCATAAAACCTCAAAAGCCTCTTCAACTCCCCCATTGTCACATAGTCGCTGAAATCTGCCATAGGGTCAACGATGCGATGCGCCACACCGAACTTCGTTTCATGCCTTGAGCCACTGGCCTCGAATGCTGCGTTTAGGCCCTCATGGACAGGAACAGCCTTAGGTGCCCCTCATGCATGTACGGGCACTCCTCAAGAGCGTTCAGGATCTGCCCACCCACGCTGGTTGTTTTCTTGCTCAGGTCGTGCCAGTTCCCCCATGTCATTCGCAATTTTACTGTACATCTTCACACGGTTAACCTTACAACGTTGTATCAGCAGTAGCTTCTGCAATCCATTTCCATTATTGAGAACTAGGGCTGCCACACACCAATCCCTTCTTGGATAAAACAGCATATATTAAGAACAACATATTCTGATGGGGGGTCGGTTTGGGGGGAAGCAGAAGAAGCGTCCCGCACAAATAGGTGTCATTGGCTGGAAGGGTGGTCTTTGGTTTCAATTTGACGCTATGCATGTGCTCGAATTACCAGTAATTGACCATTGATCTGCCTCCTTCAATTACTGATTTGCAACCCGATGATTAAATGGTGGCATATGGGAATCCCATGTCGAGGAGTACCATCAACAATATGTTTGAATGGCTGTCACCTTTTCTCGATGTTTCGCATGCAACTTTCCAGTTTTGAGAACTGGAGGTCGGTGGCTGAACACTGATGTGCAGTGAAACTCAATGAGAGAAGTGAATACATATTAACAAGCCAGTTTAAAGAGATGAAAGTCTGACACACCACGACAGCCGCATCTGCCATGTTGTGCAAGCACCTGTTCATGTGCTGGCTGACTGGTGCACACATTGACCTGATTGAGATGGCTGGAGAACGGCTGGCCAACAATCAGCTTCGATCTTACTAATTTTGGGGATCACGAGTTGGTACTGTGGGTTGGATCTGTGGGCTGGTGCCGTGGGTCGATGCTAGGGGTCGGTGCTGTGGGGTAGCGTGTTGTGCGTGTGTAAAGTGTGAGTTCAATCCGGCGCTCTGAGTGTGAGTGCTGGTGGGCAAAAGAAAAGGGTCATTCTGGTATTAAAGAAAGCCCGAGACTGTTCGTGGCTTCTCTTGGTTTGGTTGTAAGACAAGTGGAGTCCTGCCCCCTTGTCCGACCATGCACGGCGAGCGGGTTTGAGCACCGCGTGCACCAAGGTTGCCATAGAGGTCGAACCAAGTCGGTTTAACTTGTGCTGTGTGGTGGCCCATCGCTGCGCGCATTCGATTGTGAAGCAGCAGGACCTCGAACCGGGAAGGCTAAGGAACTTTGACAGCATGCCTAAGACAAGCATCGTGAGGTATCTTGAGAACGAGCTTTCGCTGTCACAAAGAGGTGCCGAGAACAAGGAATGGGCCGAGTGACGGAAAGGACTTAGCCACGGGCCAAGAAACGCAAGACTGAGTAGTTAGCACAGAAGGTAGTCAGCCACAAGTCAAGCATGACAGATAACATTATCATTTGACTCGTTCATTTGATCATTAGTCTTCGGGCGGGAAAGAGGCCACTGGTTGTGGTTGCGCTATGTTATGCCTGTTAAGTTCATGCGAAGGCATTGATGGCTCCTAAGCAAATTGTACGGCTAGGAAGGAACCGTGTCAAAATAGCATGTGGGAGATAGAGGTTACAAAGCTTAGTGTAGCATCAATTTAGTGTGAAACCCAATGAAATTGACACAGTGCGGTCATTCGAATTTTCCACATCTGGGAATTCGTAGCCAGGCATATATTCAACTCTGAATTCAACGCAAAAACAAGCTATAATATAAATCAACGCACCTGGTTCCATGCTTGAGTCACGTGTAGCTTCCTTGTGCATTGTGAAAATTTGATTTGTGGAGGCTCCGAGTGCAGGGGGAATTGGGCATCTCAGATGAAGTGCTCTTGTCAATGAAAACTGAATACCGCCAACCGGTGGCGCTTAGGAGCAAAACGCACCCTTTAGTAAACGACTCCGTACACAATGTGGATACCAACAACGCTGTTGTAGGTCAGGCTCCAGAAAGCCAAAGGCAACTGAGTTGGCGTTGCTGTTGCGATTCGCGCAATCATCATGAACAATGTAGAGTACATCTGATGCGCGTTAGCTTTGCAGGGCAACAGTGCTGCTGATGGGGCTAGCCAAATTTGTACGGGAATCCCCAACCGTTGAAAGCTTTGGTTCCTGTGATGCTGAGGCAAGAGCTCGAAGAGGCAGGTTTGTTGGGCAATTTCGATCCCTTCCTGTGGGCACCACGACAGGGTTTGGTACAACGACAGCGTACTTCACCACCAAGAACACCACGTACCCATGTAACGCTTTAGGTGTGCCAATAGCACACCGAAGCCGCACTAGCGTCACACGTAACAAGTTAACATCCTTGAGCAGTCTTTCTGAGAGCCATGATGTCGCCTTCCGCTGGCAGGAGTCATGAATGGCGGATATGCACATGACGTACAGTGGGAAACAATGTCCAGATTTTTCACAGCAGGTGGAGACATTGTATTGAGTACTCAAATCACCGTGGATCGCAATTCCTAATCCGACGCACGGCTGACGTCGTTTGGCACCCCGCCGCTTCGCCTGCAGTTAAGCCCAATTGCAGCACTGTGGCTCACCCAGTTACAGGACCGGATCCCGTGCTCAATTCCCTCTGCACATCACACCCAAACCGAAGTCCATTCCCTAGTGTGGGACAGCGGGAACGACGCAATGTTTGTGTGGGAATCGACGGTGGCGCCTACATGGCCACAGCAGCTCAGCCTCTCCTAACGCCCAGGCATTCGGTGCGCCACGACCAACAGTGCTGGACTCCCGATGGCCACCCTTGAACCAGCTGGAAGTGTTGTGAACTCAACCTATGGTGCTGCAGCAACCCAAGGTTAGGACTGGTAATGGCGTGGCAATGGCTTCGCATTTGTGGCTGCCCAATTCAAATCATCGGTGCGCCCACCCAACATCTCCGTTGGCAGAAACCAGCCACAACGCAACTATTGCACCAATGTCATTCAGACGTCCCAACCACACTCCTGGCAGGTTTGCGCAAAAGACAACGGGACGCTGGCGTGCCTTTGTGTGTGTGGGAGTTGCATGCAGTCGTTGTATGACGGCCTCACGTGTCCAGCGTTTTCTGCACAGAAGCCCTCAGGTCCCCGTACTAAGCATCGGTGAGTAACGGATGCAGCCGGATTGTCCAGCCCATGCCAGGGCGCTGTTAACTATGCGTTTGTCGATAAGCTGTGGCAATTGCGGAGTTTTCTGTCGTAACCATAAAATTTGCAAGTGGCGCAAACCTGATTTGGAATCACACCCACGCTTCTCGGACGACTCAGAGACACGCATGGGAATCCAAGGAGCATGGCCCCGGTCCCAAGCCGCATTTCAAGCCACGGGGTCGCACACACAAATTGCCCGATGATGGTGTGTGATGCGCAGACCCTTTGTTAACGTTTCCGAGTCAAAGCAATGTGTGCAATGTCTTGTACAAGTCCCTCCGAACCAATTGAGGGCTAGGATGCCTTTAACCAATCCCAACTGAGTTTCTATCTGAATGAGCTGCGCACCCCACCAACGTCCCTTCTCATTGAGTATGTAACTCCACCTATCATCTTGAGCGCGTTTCCGCGCGAATTCCGATTTGCTGCACAACAATTGAGATACACATTGAGTCCATCGGCACTGCCTGCCGATGTTTTGATATTCTATTCTCACTTTGTCAGTTGAAAGACTCCCCGAACGCAATGAAAAAGGTGGACAGTCCCATGTAGCCAACTAAATACTTCATGATGTGCTGCCTCAAGATTTTGAACGTAGTCAATGTGGTGGGGACCGAATCCGCGGACGGCCTTTCCTGGTGGCTTTTCCCAGACAAACCCTGGGCACTGGACTTCTTGAAGACGTCGTACACGCCACCAACATCTGCGCTTGTTGCACAATTTGGATTCTCGAGCAGTCTGTTCTTAGACAGCGTGGTGTAACTCCATGTCTTGGTCCTGAAGCTGTAGTCCAAATAGACATCCGATCCATCCGCCAAGGTGTCCGCGATGTAGACCCTGTTGTCCCCAGATATTGCTGCCATTTGCAACAGCAGCATGGCTGCCACATCACGATCACTTCTATCTGTAAATTTTCTTAACAGGGCATCGGCATCATCTGAACCCAGTGGCTTGCCATCACTGCACATGATCTCAAATCCATTCTTCACCTTGCCCATCGTCACATCCTCGATGAAAGTTGCCACAGAGTCCACACTGTCCTGCTTCAGATGGAACAACAATTTGTGTCTTGAAGCACCGGCCAGGAATGTCGTGGTCATGACTGCCCTTATAAACAGGAACAGCCTTAGGTGCCCCTCGTGCATGTACGGGCACTCCTCAAGAGCATCCATGATCTGTCCAGACATTCTGACAGTTTTCTCACTCAGATAGTGCCACCCACCAACGCGCCTCACGATTTTACAGTACGCCTTGACACACCTGAAAAACGCTGCAGTGGTGAATTCTGACTTAGACATCAGCCCATCCCCGGCAACATCGTACAGAAGTGCATAATCCTTCCTACCCCAGTCGCTGTGGTCTACAATTGAATGCACCCTCTCAAATCGCATCCTCTCAGCCTTCCAATCGAAATGCAATAGAATGAATGATGTGCTCCGCGATGAACCAATGATTGGTATGGTGACGACATCTGGGTGGCAATTATCCTTGCAGTCATCCTGCAGCTCCTCAATATGTCTGGAAAGCATGGGTATAACACCGACCACGCTCGAAAGTGCCAGCACCACTACTGACGAAAACAATGGATAGACGTTGTCTGTTTTCAAAAACAGAATCAACCCATACGCCCAGACGACTGCCGTGGCTGCAATGTATATGACCCACTTGTACCATGCATTCAGCAACTTGCACAAACGAACCATTGAGCCAGGGTCCCTGTCCCAATGTGCTACTCTCCTCCTGTACTTCGACCGTGTTCTTTCATACCCAATAGGATACAGCCACAGGGCAACAAGGGGGGGCAGTATGGGCGCTGGCCCTGTAGTGTGTATCACGTTCAACATGTCATTGTCTTTTCTGTCCAAGCTGAACCACAACAGTCCAATCTGAGAGAATGAAAGTATGAACAAAATGAACGCAGTAACCGTTACTGAAGTCTGGTCTGCTTGAGCCCTCCATCTCATTGTGTACTTGGCCACAGCTGCCACCAGGCCAATATACAGGAGCTGAGATGCATATGGTACTTGCATCACTGTCAAAGAGTCGGTCTGTCCCATCGTCACTCGTATTCCACTGAAGACCATGAATAGTCTAACAGCAAGAGTTGCATGAGTTCTGTGACGTCCTCCTTTCCTTGCCCTGGAATTGGGAACCTTGCTGCATATAGCACTTGCACCGCTGCTTGTGCTACCTTCTGGCTCCCATGGTAAGTTCTGGCACTCTCCTGTTTTGCAGTGTCTTTGATAGTCCATGCCCCCGCTTTGGCAGTTGTTCTTGTGTTTGGTTAGCAAGGAGTAGAGGATGCAGAGCAGCGGCATAGGGGCAAGGATCCCACTTCGGAAATAGAACATGATGTCTGTGAAGGCACTGTAAATCAAGTCCATGTCAGGGCTCCTGTCGTCTAATATGTGCACCACAAGCAGCAGCACCCTGCAATGCACCAGCACCCTGAGAAGTCAGTCACATCAACACCAATCCAAGTTCTTCAATCCAAAATATTACATTATCACATGTAAGAGCGTATTCAAAGACCAGTCAGCCTTCCATTTCAGAGTGCCCTGCTGATGATCCTATCGAACCTCCTTTTCCTTGCTGTGCAGTTTGTGGCTTGATTACTTTCGATTGGCACGAGTGGTAAGCAGGAGGCACTCCTGTGATTCCAGCTGCGGTTCAGCAACGATGTGCCAAAAGGGAGCTAATGCAAGCACAACAAAAGTGCTGGCCAAGCACAACCGCAACACCAGAAGGTAATCCTCCTTGATCATGATCTTGATCAGCGTGGTGGATGCCACAATAAACTGGAATAGAATAATGCAAGTTTACTGCATTCTCACTGTGCACAGGTGCTGCAGCACAACTATGCTGCCTTTGAAATCTTGAAGAAAGTCACAGGGAAGTATGCTCGCCCACTGGTACATCGCTTGCGATTCAGAGAAAACACAGAGACTGTCTTGAGGTACAACAGACAGTCTTTGGATCGACAGCAATACAGAATGAGCTGATGATAAGGTCTAGCCCTTTCGCACTTCACCAGCCACCTGAAAATCTTGCATTCAGTGCACTATTCTCAATGCCACTGTCGACAATTTGCATCCATCCAGAACTGTGCTGTGCGGCCAGAACTAATGTAAGATTCTTCAAAGCAGTAAAAGCGGCAAGTCGGCCCTGTGCGACTATCGCAGAGTGTACATCTGGTTGAGACAGTGGGAACCTGGAAAAAACAGCAGTGGATCAATTGCAATACAGATGACTATGATCAGAGTGGCGCACCTGGCAAAGCAGACTGAGCAGATGACGGTGTTGAGGCCAAACTGCAGCCTCTTGTGCGTTTCGCGAGGCTCCTTTGGGGATTGCTTGAACAGCGAGAATGAAAGGCAGCTGTAGCAAAGGAAGCTCATAATGGCAAGCATCCGCACAGCACTCAGGAATCCAGAGTCTGGAATCCTTCCGGTGCGGGGCACGCCCGATCTTGGGAAGGTCGAAAAGCCCCACAGGAACAGCTGCGCAGCCCAGGAACCCACAACGCCGCGTCAGCTCCCGGCAGCGATCCGATCCAGTTAGTAATGGCGGCGCTGCCATTCGCCATCCCGCCGCCAACCCCATTGGGGGCGTCGATAGGCACGGCCGTAACGGAGAGGGGCGCCAAGGGGAACTGGGCTTCCGGACGCAGCTGGGGTGCCGGCCGCGGCGGCTGGTACCCTCCTTGTTGGGGGCATCTGCCAGCGACGACTCCATCCCCTGACTGCCCAACTGCGGCAATTGGCCTCCACTCACCTCCGAGACGGCGGTGAAAATCAGGCACATCAGCGTCAATTGACGCATCCAGCATCCATTGACCCTGTTGGCAAGGCGCGGCGCCTCTGGGCGATCGCCAGTGCAGTTGCGCCCTCCACTTTCCGCATCTGACGGTCGGGCGACGACCTCGGGCCTTCCAAGACAGTGGGGCGGCAGGGGATCGAGCGCCGACATCCCCGGCAACGGGGCTGGAGCGCCACCAGCCCGCAGCGCGGCGGCGCAGGCGGCCGCGTGGTCGCCAGCGGCGAAAAGGCCAGGCGGCTCCTGGCGAGTTCGCTGTTGTGGTGTCGGGCCGCGCGGGGTTACTTGCGGCCAACCTCAGCGTCGCGGATTCCAAATCAATTACTCTGACAATGTCCTGACGATGAGCTAATCTGCATTGACGTCGCCGATGTTGACTCGACGGCCGGCGACACCAGGAGAAATCAGTGCGGGTCTGACACACATGCAGAAAACACCACGATGCCGACTGCGATGCCGTTTCGACGCTGAGTGGGGCCGGGGGACTGATTTCGACAGCATGAGAGTAGCCGTGCTGGTACCAAGTTACCGCAGGTGGCATCGCCTGAAGACTCCGTGGTTGCTCATCGCATTATTGTATACCTGCAAGCTACATTACGCCGCTGAATCATACTGGAAGACACAAGACTTGACGCTGGGAAAGGGTTTTGATGCGTTGCACACCAGAAGAAAACAGGAAACCTTCGCCTGAGCAAGTTGTTGTATGACAGTTATCCATATTGACAAAAGGATGTTCCAAGATATTATGAATCTCCCATTGTGGGAAGGTGTGCCCATTGTGTACTTGTGTGGTGACAGCACCAAGAGCAAGAAACGCGTGGTCAGTAGGCACGTATCAAAAGGTGCCAAGCCTTGGAGGGGAAATCTCTGAGCTTATTTTCAATCTGGAGCCAAGCTGACCGAATGTCCACATCACGTGATCTTACAGGAATGAATGGTAGCTCCCACAAAGAAACGCTGTGCAGAAGGAAAAGGTCCAGCAAGGAACAGAAATCAGGAAACGAGCGCCGATCAGTTGATCATAACACAATTAAACCGATCAGTTGATCAGTTGATCATAACATTGATCAACATTGGCAAACATTGATCAAACATTGATCAAACATTGATCAACAACAGTTGATCAGCCGATCAGTTGATCATAACACAATTAAACAGAAATTAGCCACACCAAAAAAAATGGCCTTCTGACCCGATTTGATGACCACCAACATTCCATCAATACAGAATTCACCAGTAACTTGGTGTTGCGATTCACAGCAAGTGAATCAAACCAGAACTTTGAAAGTCTTGTCAGCCTCCATAAAAATTCTGTCCCACGAATTCGTTCTTGCTCGGAAAGCTTCCACCTGAACCATAGCATATCCAAAATGCCAACCGCCATAGTTTCTGGATTTCCAGTAATTCAGCTGGCCTTATAGCAACAATTTGGCCCTCTCTGACCAGTCTGCTCATGAAATTGGGCAGGTACATTGTGGGCGTTCCAGGATCAACAGCGGCCGCAATTCTGAGTCAGCCTCGGTGACAAACTAGACTTTCTCTGTCATTTCCACAATTTCATTGCCCATTCCACTGCTCTCCTTCTTCAAAGCGAAGCTCAGTATCTAGGGCGCAAATAGCCACAGCCGCTCAGCCCTTGCGAAAGCCCGCCATTTCTAGGACCGCAAGACTTGCGATGGCCACCGTTGAGCGCCTTGCAACTTCGGCTAATTCAAGTGCGGTGCTGCAGAAATCCAACAGTTAGGATCACGGCACGCTAATGTCCTCAAGGCCCTGGCAGCCATTGAAGCCATCGACGCACTCACCCAGCACTGCCCTTGCCAGTTAACCTATTTCATACTGAAAACTATCATGCCATTCATCAATATACTCTGCTCATTAACAAAATGCCCTGCCAGTCTCCTGGCCCGTTCGTGCAGCTCAGTAAGACGCTCTCGTGCCTTCGTGGGCTCACTCGTACCATGCAACGGCTTTACATATTCACGGTTTTCACAATGAACCCCTAAATCTCCCGTAGTACACATCTACAAGTAATGGCTACAGTTGGATTATTCGGAGTGCATTCGGGAGGGCGCTCCGCGTCGGCGGCACTTACATGGAGACGCCATCGCCATCAAGGAGTGTGCCGGGAGAAGGATAGAATTGCAAATAGCGCAGAGTTGCCTTTGCTCAAAAGCCACGCTCCTGGAATTCTGAAGCATCTCGTGGACGCGTTTTGTAATCCAGCGTATATGGCTCCTATCGTAAGCTGCATTTCATGCCATTGGGTTGCACTGGCCAACTACGCGATACTGTCTGCGATGTGTAAAACTCCTCGATTAACATCCTAAGAAAGAGCTGCATATACTGGATAAGGAACAGAATATGGAGGCGCCCCATATCACGGATATCGAATATGATATGGGGGCACTGCCCTGGGATATGGCGAGGATATGGCCGTATCCTGGAATATGGCCGCCCATATCCTTGGATACGTACATGCCCTGGAATATGGCCGCCCATATCCAGGGATACGTTCATATCCTGGGTATGTATTCCAGGATGTGCACCATTTTTCCGACGATTCAAAAGTCAAACCGTTGAGCACGATCTGTTTGCAAGGCATCCCGAGACAGTGGCAGACGCAGGTATCCGCACACCAATCTTATCTGGGATACACCTACCTGGATGGGTTGTGCGCCCCAACAAGAGCCCTTCCCATCATCCACCATGACACCACCTCTTCTTTTCAGTACGTGTCCACATCAATTCCGAGCTGCTGGACAACAACTGAAGCACACAATTGGTCCGTCGGCATTGGCTTCCACATTTCATACTTAGTTTTCACTATTCCTAGCAGAAAGTCACCCCAGACGAAACGCAGATTCTTGGAACTCCCAATAAGCCCCCTAAGCACTTCGTCATGTGTCGCCATGTGATGCAGACTGTAGGCAACGTGTTCGAAGTTCGTCATTTACATTTATGGCATCATATTGATGTTTATGTGCTTACGTGTAAAACTGCGCTTTCATAGACACATTTACACCTATTTTACACGTATTTCTGTCGTGTCAGCACACCCACGCTGCATGAAGTCGCAGACAAATGATCAGTTCTCGAACCCCACGAGCACCCCTTGCACAGCATCTGGCTTGGTTTTTACGCCGTAAAAACTGATCGTATTTACGTTTTTACGCGTAAAAACAGTTTTTACGTTTTTACGCGTAAAAATGCGTAAAAATACGTAAATACAACGTAAAAACTGCCCGGTGTACACAAGGACAGTACACACAGACTTACGGAGTCCGGAGAGTGGCAGCCAGACGCCCTGGAAGGGGCAGAAAACGAGTATTTGCCAAACACCATCATCGCCCTTGCCAAGGGCGGGGTGGACACTGTGTTGCGGGTGCTGGATATGGTGGAGGACCGATCATTGTACGCAACTTTCATCACGTAATCTGGTCGTCCAAGGGAGCCGTAAAAACGTAAAAATAGCCGTAAAAATAGGGTCTTTTGCAAATTTACGTTTTTACGCGTAAAAACGTAAAAGTAAAAATGTAAACGTAAACGTAAAAACCAAGCCTGCACAGCATCCACCTCGCTTTCACAAAGGCCGACGACGACGTCTAACAAACGGTCGTCCTCTGCCGACTGTGGTGGAGACTGAATCCGCAGACGCCCTCTTCTGGTGACTGTTCTAAGACAGTCCTTGGCTACTGGACTCTGTGAAAACACCATACACCCCGCCAGCATTTTCAGCTGATGCGCCGAGGGATTATTGAGCAGTGTGCTCTTGGACAGTGTCGTTTCGCTCCATTTTTTGGTCTCGAAACTCTGGCCCAAATGGAAATTAATGTCCATCAAATATTTGACCGATGTGCTAGGAATTCAGCCATGCGAAACTTGTATTCAGAAATTGCTGCCATTTGAACGAACAACAGGACCGCCACATTGTGATTAATTCTGTCCGTTTGGGCCAGTATATGAGCCGCGCCTGAATTCAGCACCTTGCTATCGTTGCCCATGACTTCAAATCCACCTTCCCCATTGGCACATAATCTAAGCTCCACGGGGAATTTCCCGAGCGCCAACAACAGAAGGCAGCCTTTCACAAGGGAGCCCACAAACAGCACTCAAGGACACTCACAGCTCCACGCATCCAAACGACACTCAAGTTTCCCGAGTCAGGAACCCTGCAGGTGCGTAGCGCCCCCAGTCCTGAGATGGGGTACACCGTCCATGACCGGTAATGGCCGGCAAGCCTCAGGGATCACGCGCAGCCCAGGCAGCCGCAATGTTGCGTCAGTACCCGATGGCCATCCGGTCATAGAGTACAGGCGGCGCCACCATCCAGCACACCACCCACCTCAGGCGTCCGTCAAGCCCTGCTGTTGCGGAAAAGGCCGTCCATGGGGAACCAGTGTTTCATGGCGCAGCTCCTATGGTGGGTGCGATGGCCGGTCCCCTCCTGGACGAGCACATGCGAGCGAAGACATTTCTCGTACCTCTAGCTAAAGGGTTCAAGGGCTTCACCCACTTCCGAAACGGCGGTGACAGCCAGGCGTACCAGCGCCAACTGGCGCATCTCTCCGTCCAATTTCAATGTACGGCGCCTCTGGAGGGTCGTCCGTGCGCCCGCCACCTTTCGCCTTTGACCTCCCGGTGGCGACCTCCCATCTGCGCCGAACAGGAGGCTATCGGGGATGGAAGGTAGCGCCCACCCGTGCTTGCACCCTAGGAACGGTTATGGGGCCGCACCAGCCCGCAGAGCGGCGTCGGAAGCAGGCATGAGATCACCTGCTGCGAGGCCGAGAGCCCACGGTGCTCGTGTGCCAGTGACGGTCTGTGGGCAAGGTCGAGTGGGTTACTCATAGGAATTCTGCCTGCCGGGGACCCCGCTGGCCCAACTGTCAGCCATGATGCCATGGACACGGCTGGCAACTGCAACGTGCATTGCAACAGTGTGCCATTACCAACGACAATCGTCCATGGCATGTGGCAGCATCCTGCAAGGGCGGACAGCCGAAATGCTTCATTGAGCAGAAGGTAGCCTGATAATCGAAACTTCCAACATGGCCACATGGCCACGCATCCATGCCGTTCCTTCAATTCGAGGGGCAGCGTTCAAGCCAGTTCCCGTAGCGATATTGGGACCTCCAGCCACAGCCTCAGCCTTGCCACATCCCTTGCATTGCTTGAATTTTTTGGAGGTCCAGTGTGCCAATCCGCACAGGGCTGACAGCTGGCTCCAGTCTGGAAGTGTTTTAGCTCACAGCCAGCTCAAGTCATCAGCCAGCCACAAACGATCGCTGCCAATTGGTTCTGGTCCTCAGTGTGTCCTGCAGCATTGTTGCATACCTGCCTTGTGACTCAATCAGCTCCGATGTGCTGGAGATGACCAGCAGCTGGGGCTGCATCTCAGTTGTTGTGCATCACCGTTTCCTCTTCTTGCCGGACTTGCCAATGCCTTTCCTTTCCAATAATGCAGCTCGCAAGCTGGCTGCAGATTTCCTTTTGCCTGATAGGCATTTTCTTGAAGAGAAGGTCACCGAACGCGACGCGTCCTCCTCTTGTTCATCGTCTAAATCCTGTAGAAATTTGAATGCAGGCAATACAGATCTTAACAGCAGCAACATCCAACACAGCGATAAAGCAACAGCACAAATGCTACATTGTACTGATGGCACATATCTCCCCATGTGGTTCAATTTGTCTGTTTGGACAACCGTTTTGCCTTCCATTTTGGGGTGCTGAAAGGATAGGGGTTCCTCCGCTGTTCAAGAGTACAGCACACACACACACACATGCCATTGCAGCACATACCAAACTCTAAAGGCACATTTTGAGTCCTTTGCTGTTCACCTTGCTTTGCTTTGGGGTATCTGTTGCTGTGCGCTGTGGTACAGCACGTTTGCTGTGACCTGATATTATTGCAGAAGTTCCTCATGTGGGCAATACTGCCATCTTTTGCACAGCACTACTACCACACTGTGAGACATCTCCAGCCTTCACAGCATGTAACGAGCCGTAACTCACATTTCTGCATCAATAGAGGGTGCCTGTTGCATGGTGTGTTCCTGTTGAAAAGAAATTTTCCTCCAGAAGGACAATCTTCAATTCTTCTGGGTTCCACCTGACTGACAATTTGTTGGAGAACGGACAGTGATAATGCTCCGGACATTTGATGGACGCTGTTGTTTATGCACAAGAGGAATGTGTCCCATTGTGGCACATATTCTCTTTCTGATGCACAGAATCTTCAGCATCCAATGGCTGGCAGTTCCCACTCCCCACCTTTCCTGAAGATGGACTCTCATGTGCTTCCTCCATTTCTTGGATGGACTTCCTGGAGGTGTGTGGCTTTTTGTAGATGCCAAGCTTTCGGCCAAGACTGCGCTCAGCAGTTGCAGCCAAGGCGACTGCCTAGGGCGGTGCAGGGCATCAAAGTTCCTGTTAGGCTGCTGCTGACAGCAACTACAGCGACTGCAACCATCCGCCACACCCAAACCCAAACTAATGGCACTGCTTGTAGACCTTGAACAAATTTGGGAGATTCCCACCCTGTCAAGACGAGCAGGACACATGAACAGAAGTACTACCAGGTCATACGTTCATTAGGAAGGCAAGCCAGTGCAATAACCTACAGCATTCTGCTGCAAAATTGGTGGCGCCTCTGAGGATGCCCAATTTTGGCCTGGACTGTCTGGGATGGAACTGCTGAGTTTATGTTTCGTGAGCAACTTGGCAACCAGAATGCAAGTCCCTACCACACAGGAAAGTGCTCGTCAATAAAGCCATGGCTCAAGCAAGCAACTGTATCAGATGATGTTGTGAATATGCAGCTCCTGCTACAGCCAACGAAATCCAAACGTACAGCATTAAGGGCGAAAATCAAGCTGTTCAACTCACTCTCACAATGGAACACAGCATCAATCACTGCAACAGGACACCATTCAGAAGCACTGGCCTGTTAAACCATCAACATTTGGCATAGCTCAACAAACTCAAAGAGCATTGAAGCGCCAAACCTTCAATTATTGCCCACGATTCCGCAATAACATCGTTTGTCAGATCACTGACAATAAAGATCAGACAGAATTCTTGAGCCAGCTCACCTTCTTGTGCGGCAGGAACTTCGCGCCGAGACCAAGGCTGAGACAACAGCAACAGACGTTTCAGGAATCAGACGTTGAACATGACTTTCTGGTGGCCATGCTCTGAAGAAGCCTTTTCACTCCCTTTCAGGGCCATGCTGGGTTCGCTTGCACTGTAGGTCTGTCATTTGGCCTGCACCTGGCTACTGGTGTGCACTCATTAGGGGAGAGAAGGTTGCCATCAAATGGAGTTTGATGAGTGTAATTTCCAGGCAATTAGAACACGCTTGCAGGAACGTGATACGGTAGTTGTTGATGACTCAGGTGGCTCAGAGAAATATTCGACGCAGCCTCTTCAATACGGCATTACATGCAATTTCTGGCCCACGTCTTGTGCCACAATTATCATTTTTCATGACCACAACTTGTGGGGGGAGGGTATATATGTACATGTGACAACACACAAAGTAAGCACCCTGCTATGATGAAGACCATGTGAAGATTGTGCATTTTGCTGAACAGTTATTGGGAGTAAAGAATTGACAAGATGAACCAGTGTGGTCTGGCTCATGCTACTCTATGTACACATATGTTTGGGACTCACTTTGTGATAGCATCTGTGGCTGCACGTTCCCTGTGCCTGGGGAGCTTGCTTGTATACACAGTATGCATAATTGTAATGTGGAAGTACGGAATATGTGCTTAATATGACATGCTTTTGTTGGAATGTGCAATTCAAGTTTCATCCTGCTGTGCTTGCTGTTGCTTTTGGGGGCTATGTTGTTGTGTGTTTGGCGTATGCGATCAATGGAACTCATAAGTGGGTGTGAGCCTTGCAAAGTGCATGCAACGGTTTCACTTTGTGGCTGCTCCACACCAACTCCTTCAAGCTGCAAAGATAGTGCATTGCTGTGCCAAATGCACTGCTCCAAATGCATTCCTTTCTATTGGCCTCTTTCTTGCTTTTAGCATTTTCTATGCAGTACATTGCTCTGTTTTGAAACAATCACAGGATGGATGCTGGTGAATGCTGGGTGCATGCTGGGCGAATGCTGTCCTGTACTTCAGTTGTCCTGGTTCACAAGCATGCTCCGCACAATAATTGAGCAATTATGATATCAGGGCTTCTGTTTAGCAAGGACTTCTGAGTATGGGTGGAAGGCAAGGGCTGCCACCCTGTAAGTCTGTGTGGATGTGTGCAGCATTCTGTTTCCTGTGTTACTTGTGCTGCACCTGATGAGCACCACAGTTCGCCTAGGATGGAAGATGCAACACACCAAGGTTGATAATTTGAGCAGCGGTTCATCAGAAGGTACATCAATACTAATACATATCCATCAAAACAATCAAAGAATTTTATGATACCATGGAATGAGACAACAAACAGGTAAAGCATGAGCTTGTGCATCCGCCCACACAGGTTGTGGAATGTGGCAGAACATGTTTCTTCCCATGGTGACCAGTTGAATGTTCAGGGTAGGAAGAGAACACGAGTATTTGTGAGAGCAGGAGAATAGACAGTTGGGAAGCCAACCTTTCGATCCAACATTCAGCCACCCTGAAGCACCAGACAACCATGTTGTTGGGAGCACATCTGGGAGCTGCCAAAAGTAACTCGCAAGGCACAAAGCTATTGTCCTGCCACTGCCATCCCACCCACCCTCCCCCTTTTCCAAAAGCACTGCCAAACATCGTCCTGCAGATGCAACTTTTTGTTTTTCCCAATTCTGACTGCCGTACTTGCAACCAGGCTGAAGTATTGCGAGCGCCCGCGCACTTGGTTTTCGAATTGTCTTGCTCACCCAACAGGGCGTGCCTCTCCTCCCGGCCCATCCAAGTCGCCATCTGCTCCTTCAAGCGCCCCAACTGGGTCAGTGATCCCCAGCCACCCTGACGCCTGCAGTTGCACTCAGATTGACACTCAGAGACACTCAGGCTGTGGTGAGGACACTTGTGTTTGAGATTGAACAGTGGATTTCTATTCAATGTGATTGCTGCACTCCAAGCATTTAGACAGACGACTCGACCGGCCACAAGTGAATAAGTTCAAAATGGAGCCACCACTGTACGCTTCTGTTGCCAGTATGCTTGTGAAGAGCGGGGGCAATGCAGTTTGACTGCGCACATTACTCACAAGTGCCTGGGTATGCTCTGTGGCATTCATTAAACATCAATGAACATATTTGCATGAACAATACAGTTCAGGACACCTAAAAGCTGGCGATTCGTTTAGGTGGTCACCATTGGGGCCAAGGACACCTTCTGTTCCACTGCTTTGTGTCGCCGTAGCCCAGTGGAGAAGAGCAGGTGTGCAAATGGCTGCAGCCTCTATGTGTCCCCGCGATTTGGAATTTCAACCTGGCTGGTAAGGAAATGGGCTGAGCAAACTTCCCCATACGCTCCCCTCCCACTCCCCCTACCCCTACCCAACCCCCTCTTATTCACCAGCTTTATTCAGGACAGGGGTGGCCATTGTATGACCGGTGTTTCCAAACAAGCAGCCCCAATCCTTCGTCATCTACGCTGTTGGCATTTGGAATGAGACCGTGGTCTCAACTCAGCGGTGTTCTGGTTTAC